TCTTCAGCTCTCAAGAACTCAAAATTTGTTTTTTCAATTGTTGAAAAACTGATTTTTTTTGTTCTTTGGGAAATGAAAAACAAATTTTGAGTTCTTGAGAGCTGAAGAACAGAATTTGAGTTCCCTATTTGAGACAAATGAAAAACAAATTCCCATTGATTTTTCTGTTCTTTGAAAACCCGAAGAACAACCTTTTTTAGAGTGTACTACTAGTTCTTAGTTTACAATCCTTTGTACGTTGAATAACTCATTTATATCTCGAGTAGCTTCTTTAATTCCGATCGGTCGATCACTATTCCTCCAATCCTCTGTTCCGCTATCCTCTATTCTCCTGTTCCGTTATCCTTTATTCCGCGATTATTTTTGTATTCTGCAGTTATACAACACTTGATTCAGTCCCGATTCATCGACACGTTAATTGATTCAATTCATCAATTTCATTTTATAATAATTTTCATATAGATGTATACGAAAGTTCGGTTTCTTTTCTAATTAATTTGATTACTTCTTCAAAAACAATTAACCGTTATGTTTCAAAACATTATTCTTTTATCAACCTATCGAAAACCAGATATTAAGGGGAAAACACCGTACTCCGCTAACTCCGTCACTCCGCGGAGTTTAACCGGAGTGGACAGAGTGGGCGGAGTGCCCCTGGAGTGAATGGAGTTTGTGATGTTATTTAAAATTAAACTCTGTGAGTACAGTTTAACGTATTTATTGTGTATCGTAAAAATCAGAAAATGTATATATATAAGATGCGTTTATTCTAATAGCAGTCATCATTTTACAAGCATTTACTGATGAAGATAATTTGAAACGCGTTTAAATTCTCGTGTATATTCTCCGTTTTCTGTTTTTAAAATTCGCTGTCAAGATTTATAAAATACACATATTTTTCTATTAAAACAAAAGTGGTTTTTCACGGATTTTGAGCAAGTTTTCTAGGAGCCTCGAAAAACCGGGTCTTCAAATAATAGCTTTTTTCTGGAATCTTTTGCAATTAAAATTTTTCTAAACACACAGATTTGTAGAGAAAACGTTTCTGATCAAAATAAGACCTCGTACAACTCTATGACCTTGCATCAAACAGTTACAAGCATTTTCCTAGAAGTTTTAAAACTGAGTAAACTGGTGGTCAAAATGTCGGAGCTGACCACTTAAAGTGTACATTAATCGTTCATCAAAGTGCCCCGTTTTAGTCAGGGTACTTGTTTTTTGAGAGTGCACACTAGTTTTATTACGTAAGTAAATTTAGCACCAGATTCGAATATTTTCAGTTTAGATTCATTTATGAACTTGATCCAAATAGAACTCTATAAAAACCTGTATCTTTTTTCTCCAAACAAACAATGGTTTATGAGAAAAACCTAAAAATTAATTTTTTTAATACAAAATATTACGGTCTTTCAGTAAACATTACCCAAATTCATTCCAAGACTTTCGAGGGAAGGTCACCAAGTGTTACTCTGGCTTTTCAGTGGGACATATCCTAGTTTTTAGAGCTCGACTAGCTGGTTACGATGGCTCTTGAAGACCAAGTGTTCTGAAAAACCAGTTTTTCAGCAACTCGAAAAGATAACCAAATCCTTTCTTAATAACGCATAATTGTAGCACGCAAATTTCTGATTAAAACGAGACATTCCCAGCTCTACATGACCTTTCTTTGCAGAGTTATAGAATTTACAAGAAAAGCCATAAATGTTTCATTGTCACTCAAAGCTACAGAAATCTTTTCTGGTAAATTCTATAACTCTGCAAAGAAAGGTCATGTAGAGCTGGGAATGTCTCCTTTTAATCAGAAATTTGCGTGCTACAATTATGCGTTATTAAGAAAGGCTTTGGTTATCTTTTCGAGTTGCTGAAAAACTGGTTTTTCAGAAAACTTGGTCTTCAAGAGCCATCATAACCAGCTAGTCAAGCTTTATGCCATCGTAATTAGCTAGTCGAGCTCTACAAACTAGGATATGTCCCATCGAGAGTAACACTTGTAGACGTTCCCTCGTTAGTCCAAAGCTAAATTGCACATTGTTGGATAGAAATCATCGAGACGCATCCAACAGTATCCCCTGATGATCTTCATCCCAACAAAAATCAGCGGCCTATCCAACGCGAGGGCAAATGGGCAATTGCCCATTTCATTTGGAGATTTGCCCATTATAATTTTGATTAGTAAGTTTCTGCCCATTGAAATTTTACTTGGTGGATATACCCATGTAGTTTTTTTCGTATAACGTTTAGAAAGATATATGTAAGAGTGTGGATAGACAGAATTGTTTGTTTATTTTTGAATTAGATAGTAAACGTATTTTGTTTCTTCCGTCTGAATCCCACATACACTCTTTGCTTCTTCTTTCTGTGAAGAATAAAGAAAGGAAGAAAAAAATCGCTCCTTGTATTTTATCTCATACATGTTTTTTTAAATTTGAGTTTGATGGATATTTGATTAAGAGAACCTCTTTTCAGTTTTTGTGTTCTTTTTGGACCAAAAATCGTTTGGCCCAGCAACAAAAACTTTGCTCATCGTTTTTTTCCGACACAGTAGAAGTTTGCCCATTGGTCTGAAAATCCTTGTTACACAGTTGACAAAAATCTAAAGATGTGTGAGAGTCCTATCCAGCAATGTGGTTTAAAAAATAGCACATTTCTTTAAAAATTGCTGCAATCGGACGTTAGACTACAGAAAATTGAATAACTCAAATATGATTTAAAATTAAACAAAACATTCACGACAGACAAAGTGTAAATTTTAGAATTTGACTTGGGTAATTACCGATTTATATTCAATTTTTAAAATTTACACTTTGTCTGTCGTGAATGTTTTGTTTAATTTTAAATCATATTTGAGTTATTCAATTTTTAGCAACAGGAAAAAATACAAATTATATTATAGTAGGAGTTAAACGGATCCGATCGATAGAATTTGACTTGGGTAATTACCGATTTATATTCAATTTTTATCGATCGGATCCGTTTAACTCCTACTATTTCCGGCAACCGGTAAGGCGACCGGATCCGATGGTCGGAATTCGTTGTCTTCCGGTGATTTCCGACGTTCGAATCCGATTGAATCCTTCAAAATTAGCGTCGTCGAAACTGATCGGATCTGAGCACTGGAACCGGCCGGATTCCCTACTTTTCCGTGATCGGAAACATCCAGATTTATGCGTAAGAAAATTAAAAGATTATTTCAAAGGAAGATAAAAAGTTTTATTGAAAGTACTGAAGATATTCTTGAGAAATAATTGCTGATACATTCTTGTAACAAAAAACGCCTTATAGTATAGTGACTGACGATATGAAGCGCTGGCCGAATAGCCAATAATTGCCGAATGCACTTACACAGCATCCTCTCTTTGTTTTCTTCAAAGGAAAAAAATCTGGAAGATGGGATAGATTGCTTTTCAATACTAAGCACCTAAGCTTTTGATTTCCATTATTAGATTTCTATGGTCGTTCATCTTCTTGCCCGCTTAGGAGCATGTTAGTGGAGGTCTTGTTTATCCAAACGAGTAGATCTCTAAGCTGAATTTGCGTTATTCTCAACTTTTGACGAGATAATAAAAATTTGATAATATATTTAGAACGCTTCCTGTGTCAACTATAATATGAAGGGGTACAAACTTCAAGAAAATATTTTCCGTTCACAAAATGAAAAGTGCAGTGAAATTCTCCAATTCGGCTGATCCATTCTATTAATCAAAGACAGTGAGCAGAGATCTTTTAGAATTCATAAGCTACCTCTTTTTTCTATCGGCTCTACAAGGAAAGACAAACATGAATCGACCTATTTACAATCTATCCTGATGTTATTTTCAAGTTTTTCGAGCAAAGACGCTCTTGAGATTTCAGGGAGAAGATTAGTTGCCTTTTCTGTGGAAGCTGTTTTATTTTAGAGTTTGCTGTCGAATGCTTTTAAACTTTGTGGCACTAAGATACCTCTGTGGTAAAAAAACCTGAAGAAATAATATTTGCCCAATAAACTTCAAAAGTTGCCGTCTGTCATTGTTTTCTTTTAGTCGAATAGGTTTTCCATGAAAGACACTAGAAACTGCGGGCGAAATCTTGGAATTTATCCTCAAAGATGTTTACAACCTGACTAAAGAACGTATGACCAAATCGTTTTTTTGCACCCATTTTCACGACAACATATTGAACATTGAGAAAATAAACTAGTTTTAGCAAGTCGAAAACATTTTTTCTGCTTTAAGATGTTTTAGTTTTTACGGATGCAGTATAGTAATCCGGGACCCTGAATATTCTGAAAGGAACGTTTTGGGTTTTCGAGATGAAAGTTACTGTTTAATGCAAAAAGAGAAAGGCATATGTTAGTTCAAAATTCAAATATTTGCACCTACGGAAAGTTGCTCTAACCGGCCATGGTCAAGCCATTTCGACTTTGATTTAACCCTTAAGCAGAACAGAAGATGAGTTCTTTTTTCTAAGGAATGGTGTTGAGCGCTCACGAGTGATTTTCGTGTCTTTTGTTTTTACATTTATTTTTGTTCTGTTTTTCAGGAAAAATCCAGTTTTTCGTTATAGATATAGAGCTACAAGAGGCTCTCGCTATAGCTGTAGGGAAACAACGCCGTAAAACAGAGAAAGAAAATGAACGCCAAAAACGGCAACGAAGATTTATATATAAATTATCTCCAGGCGTCCGTTCACCATCGGCGGCACCAAAACCAACGACACAAAAAGAAAGAGCTCAATCTCTCACAACATTTTCATTTGAAACGACAACTACAATGACTCGTACACGTATAATTAACTCGTTATCAGCAAAATCTTTCGACCGAAACCATCCGGAGGACAATACTGTAATATATTGGGATGAAATTGAAGATCACACTCTTCTTAACAGCGAAAATTCTGTTGGCATGAATCCAGACGATTTTGAATTATAAGATCCTTCACCAGTTGTAGACACAACACCACTACACCACTACACTAATATGACAACGGATGATCTTTGTTCTAAATTATTAAACATTTTACGTGATTCCCACGTATGTAAATCACACTCAAATCGTATTTTATCACTGATTAACTCGGCACTGCCTTCAGCGAATAATCTCCCGAAGACAATGGAACAAGTATTATTCAAGCTTGGAATTAATGATGATCTTTTCAGAAAACGTGTAATATGTTCAATATGCAAAAAGCATTTACCTTATTCAGACAAACACTGTCGCCAATGTACAACTTCAGACGATCAAAATTTGGTTTTCGTGTATGATACTGATATAGAAAAGCTAATACGAACTATAGTAAAACGTTTATCAACAGATATCACTGAATATAAACAACAGCTTCGGAACATGACTGACAAAGACCAAACAAATGATATTGGTTTTAATAAATGTTATCAAGAATTGCTACAAAGAAATGTTAATCAAAATTTCATTACATTTTTGTTGCATCTCGACGGAGTCGGCTTATGTAAATCAACCAAATTAAAGATGTGGTTGTTTAGCGGCTCTATCATTGGATTACAACCAAAATTGAGATATCGTCGATATAATATGCCCTTGTTTTCTATATGGATTGGATATAAAGAGCCACATCCAGAAGTGTGGTTAAGAAATTGTATTGGTATGATGAGAGTTATAAAAAAAGAAGGTAAATGTTTATAAAACTCGAAATGTTTTTTAATTTTTACGACTAGTCTATTTGTTTCCTTTTCTATTTCTTGAAAGGCATCCAGAGTTGAAAATAGAGAAGTAAAATAGATTTGATCGCCCTGACCGACGTCTAGCATCGACGTGACGGGTGGGTTTAAAAATTAAAAGTTTAAGGTTATTAGGAGTTCTGAAAAATCCAGAACACATGCAAAATTGAGAAAATCGGAAATTTGTGCGTGTTTTAGTTAACTCTGTATGTGCTGAAAATTTATTCATATTTCAGGTACTCAGACATTTAATAATCAACGTGTTGATATAAAATTTCTCTCAATAACAGGTGATTGCCCGGCTTTGAAATTAATATTGAATTTTATCGGACATGGCGATTATTTCTGTTGTTGGTACTGTTATTTACGCGGTGTACATGTTAATAACAAACGACAATATTTATATGAAAACCCGATTATTCTTCGTGGTGCATCTGCATATAAAGAAGGATGTTCAGAAGCTGAAAGAACAAAACATAATGTGTTTGGCCACTTAGGTTAGTGAGATGAGGTTAGCGACACGAGCTTCGGCCTTCCAGTTTTGATTAGAAACTCGTATAAATTGAACGTATTCTAAAAATTATTTTTATCGCCGTGTTTTCTCCGACCAGAAAAGGGCTTACGAGGGAACCATCTGAGGTGATACCTCCTGTTTTCATTCATTCATATCTCATTTAGTTGAGTATATTGAGATAGTAAAAACCCTAAAAGGGATTTTCCCCAATCTCATTCCTTCAAAAGTTATCGACGTTTTCCTATTTTTACCCTTATACAAGATGAAAAATTTTTTAAATGACAAATTAGCAAAATAAGTCAAAGAGATC